AGTAGCTTCTTGTTCCTAGTAGCTTCTTGTTACTGCTAGTAAGGCACCTGTTACTACTAGCGTGGCACTTGTTTCTAATGGCTTCTTGTTCGTCTTGCTTCGTTTCGCTCAGGCAACTTCACTCATTGCGGGCAGATACTATGGGATTTGTGTTGACATGGACGGTGCAGTACTCCTCCTACAGTGATTTCCGCCAGCTCTACATCTCTGCATACAATGCTAGTAGGTTGGTGTAGAGCCGCAACAAGAAGCTACTAGGAGCAAAGGGCATCGCTACGAACGGAGCAAGGACGCTACTAGGAACACTCCTGGCCTTACTACTAGGAACAAGAATCTACTAGGAACAAGTGCATCGCTTCTAGTAACAAGTGCCTTACTAGTAGTAACAAGAAGCTACTAGGAACAAGAAGCTATGAGGTTGGAGGCATTTTTTATCTTTTTTTCGAGCGCTCAGAGGTCGTCCTCCCTACAATGAGGTGTCTACCCTTGGCTTCGGAGACACAGGCTTCATGATCTACGTGAGTGGGTTGGAAGGGCGCTACCCTCACTTCCAGCTGCCCTTTTTCTTCATGTTTTTTCTTTTTATCGCTTTAGTTGTCATACTTTTGTTATCTTTTTTCCTCTCTCTTTGTCGTGTCTTTGTTTCAGATCTCCCAGGATTTCACCCTCTGCTATACGTCAAGCGTTTGCTCAGGAGGCAGCTTTTGCATGTAGAAACGCGTCGCGATTGAAACGTTTCAATCCAAAATACCAACAAAGCGAGTCGAAAGGTTTGAATTCAATCAGTATGATTTTTTTATTTTCTGGGTTTTGTGGGGGGCTGGGGTAGGCTGCTAGAGTTCTTTTGGAGCCTTTATTTTTGTTTTTAAAGCAGAACTTTGTGTTTTTAACGCTTTGCGTGCAGATCCAGCTGACCTGCTCGGAGACCAAGCCGGGTGATTTGCAAAGGACGGAATTCTGGGTTTGGATGGGTTTGGACAGTGAAGGGCTCCTCTCTTTGGAGGTCATCGCTATTAGGAGCATTTGTATTTTTACAAGGTCTTTTTTGTAAACTTCATTCCATCACTGTTGGAGGCCATCGCTCTTAGGTTGGAGGCCATCTCTAGTACGTAGGTTGGAGGCCATCGCTAGTGGCTATTGGGTTGGAGGCCATGCTGTGACGACTAGAGGTCCGAGTGGGAGATCAAAAGTGGCTTAGTTAAGTAAGGAGAGGGGAAGCTACGCGTAGCAAGGAATCTACAACATGCAAGGATGCGGTCGAAATTGTTCCAAGTCTATTTTACAGATTAACCTGTTGAGCAAAGAGGACTTGCAGAAGTATTTTTCGCCACATGTTCTACATAATGTCAAAAGAATTTGTGTAGCTTTGCAGTTGACACCGAGGCCCCTATTGTAATCCAAACAATGACATCACTCAAGCATCGACCTTGGAGATTTACAACATTTGAACAGTCTTCACATGTTCTTCACATTTGTGTTGATTCAAAATGCATATTGTATGTAAATGGCTGTGCTTTTGAATCACATCGAGGCCTACATCTCCTTGGAGTGTGACACAACGCTCTACTTTGGCCACAAACTTGAGGGCTTGTTGGAAGATCTTGCATATATGTTACAAATAATTGTTACAACCAATCCAACGGGATCAAACACATGCACTGTTTACAGAGACAAACCCAGCACCGTAGCTCATATGAAAGTCTAGAGTTCTGAAAACCAAATCACCGTGCACCAAGTTCTTTTCTGAGATCTAACAAACGAACGATATTGGGCCGTGCCAAATGTGCAGTTTGTGTGACTGAGGTTTCAATCTGCCGGCTACAACTGGTGTGAATTCGCCAACAAATCGATTGCCAATGCCCCAAATTCTTTGGTTGGAGGCCATCGCTATTAGGTTGGAGGCCATTGCTTTTAACTTATTCCCGAAAGCATTGCGAAGGGTTCTTCCGGAAAATCCTTTGAACACTGACACTTCGACACTTACACTCAGACACACCTAGACATTGACACTTTCACCACACTGGCAGGATAAATAACATGAACGCTATACGTAGCCCTGTGTAAGTGGAAGAGCGAAAGCTGTCAAAGTATGCAAGTGGAAGTATGCAAGTGTAAGTATGCAAGTGAACTAGCACGGGAGATGTCCTAATGAACTAGCACGGGAGATGTCCTAATGAAAAACTTTTCCCCACTTTATTGAAAAAACTTTTCCCCACTTTATAAAATCTCTCTTAAAGGCGGAGGGTGGGACGAACAGCGTCAACCGAAAGTGCAACCCTCTGCGGAGATCGTGCGTGTCGAGTGCGCGAAATGCAGGCGAGAGTGCGATGTGCCGGGTGCCCGCGCAACCCTCTGCGGAGATCGTGCGTGTCGAGTGCGCGAAATGCAGGCGAGAGTGCGATTTGCCGGCTGCGCGCGCAACCCTCTGCGGAGATCGTGCGTGTCGAGTGCGCGAAATGCAGGCGAGAGTGCGATTTGCCGGCTGTGCGCGCAACCCTCTGCGGAGATCGTGCGTGTCGAGTGCGCGAAATGCAGGCGAGAGTGCGATTTGCCGGCTGTGCGCGCAACCCTCTGCGGAGATCGGGCGTGTCGATAGCCGCGCAAAGACTTTGGCTGACAACAGGCAGTGGAAGCCAGCTTGCTGGCTGCCATTGTCCAGATGGAAAGCCAGCACGCTGGCTGCCATCATAGTTGAAGTGGGTATGAGCCAGCACGCTGGCTACCATCATAGTTGAAGTGGGTAAGCCAGCACGCTGGCTGCCATTGTTGAGATGGCAAAGCCAGCACGCTGGCTACCATCATAGTTGAAGTGGGTAAGCCAGCACGCTGGCTGCCATTGTCCAGATGGCAAAGCCAGCACGCTGGCTGCCATCATAGTTGCAGTGGGTATGAGCCAGCACGCTGGC